TCTGCCTTGGCCGCTACCGGCAAAGCCCAGGCCTGGCTGGGACCGGGTAGTGGCAGGCTGCAAGGAGAGTGCTGGGAGGCAGGCGGGAGGTGTGCAGAAGGTGGCAGCGCCCAGGCCCTGTCAGGCAGCTGGCGCGGGAGCCCAGGAAGCAGGGCGCTGGGGGTTGTGGGGAGAGCTTTGGGGCTGCCCGTCTCCGCCAGCTTACCTCTTCGTGAGTGCTAGTCTTCTTGAAGGCACTGGCTAATGATTGCAGCCCTTTGGCAAGCTCCATTTCTGGCAGACACAAGCAGAAGGTGAAAACAGGCCTCCACGCCCTCAAGGACTTCCCTGCTGAGTGGGTTCCCTCTGACAGACCCCTCCAGGACAGGAGGAGGGGCGCAGACTTTGACCCCTGCTCGTGCCAGCCCCGCTTTCCTCCCTGAGAGCCCCCTGTTGCCTGGCCCGGTCCCGCTGGGCCCAAGACCTCACCCTCCACCCTCGGCTGCCTACCCCGAGAGATGGCTTGGTCCATGTAGGCGGCCAGGTCCTTCACGTATTTGGAGATGTATCTCACGGCCGCATCTATAACCTCATCGCTGCTTGGCTCCGTGGGCTGCTCTTCTGCTGCAGGAGCTTCTGGGACATGGGGACAAGCCGGAAGACGGGAGAAGAGGAGAGAGCGACTGAGCGGTGATGCTGGCAAGCCCAGCCGTTGCCTACCCTACGCTCTCCGAGTGCTGCAGAGGTTCCCGAAGGGCTGGAGCAGGCAGGAAAACACCAGCAGCAGGGCAGCACGGCCTTGCTGAGGCTCCACAGGGCTTCCCGTTCCTGACCCGTGTGCCCATGGGCTGCCTCGACGGCAGCCTCCAGAGACCTCCTTACAGGTCTGCCCCAGCTGCCCCCAGCTCTCCGGGGATCTCCAGGAGGAGATGCCCTTTGCTGCCAGCTGCTCGGCTCAGCCCAGCACCCCTCCGTGCCCCCGTCCTGTCGGCCTTGCTCCCTGTGCACCCAGGCAACTCGGGGCTTACCCGTCTCACCATCTTCTTCGCCAGAAGGCACCCCAGGTGCCTGAGCAGGGGGGACCTCTGCGTCGAGGCTCTCCTGGACCTTTGGGGACACGGGTGGAAAAGAGAACGGCTCAGAGAGGCAGGAGATCAGCTGCGGAGGGGAAGGGACCTTGAGGGAGGCTGGTGGGTCTGGGAGGGGGAGGGAGAAGGCAACGCAGGGCTGCTGGAGCCATCTTGCTGGTGCTCGCAGCCTGCTGGACGCAGCCCCTGCTCCAACAGGAGGTTTGGAGGACCTCCTTGGAAGGCAGCCTTTGCACAAGCGCTCCTCCCAGGTGCTTCTCAGCGGCTCTCGCCTTTTGGGATTGAGCTCGGCCAGGCTGGGACGTGAGTGGGGATCCTGTGCTTTGGGATGGGTGGCTCTGCCCCAGACGCAGGTGTCCCCGCAGGGGCCAGCGAGGGGCTGTGCGCCGGGGGCTGCCCTCACTCACCGGGTGCTGGTCACTGGTGAGGCTGGAGGCGGCGGTGCCGCTCTCCTCTCGCTCCTCCACAAGGCCCGCAGCAACGAGGGTCTCCGCAGGTGCCCGGGCCTTCTGCTGTCTCTTCTTGCCGGAGCAAGACCGGAAAGCTGGCACTGCAAGGAACGCCAAAGCCCCAGGCGTGAACGCTGGTGCCTGCCTGCCCTGGCTGCAGGGCTCCGCTTGCTCCCGAGGGTGTGCGGCCTGCTGCGGGCAGGGGCCCTGCGTGCCCGCCTGCGGTGCCGGGGGCTCTGGGCGCTTTCTTACCCGCACAGGATCTGCCCAGCTCCCGAAGGCGAAAGGTGAGGCCCCTCAGCCACATCTTGCCCTTTCGAGGTGGCCGCACGCGTGGCAGGCCATCCTCGTCCGGCTGGCTGGGCTCCCCCCACGGCACCGGGCAAGAGCTCGAGGCACCTGCTGCAGCCCAAAAGGCGGCAGCAGCCTCTTGCCTCTCCCACTCCAGCTCCTCCCGCCAGCGCCTCTCCGGGAGCTGGAAGCGGACCGGCTTGG